GGAACAGTTACGGCAGGTTTCGCCGGCTGGCCGACCAACCAAATTCTTTTTTTTTAACTTTTTAGATAATATGTTAAGAGCAAAACTGTCTTTTGAGGGCGATAAATAGTGATAGAAGTCGATATTTAGTATCAACCTATATATATATATATATATATATGTGACAAGTTGATGAGTTAGTTGGGACCACATGCAAAATTTTTCAATGCAAGTATTATATTTTGTCTGACGCACGGCACAAGAGAAGAATGAAAAAAGTGTTTATATTCACTATTGATTGATGAGGTCTTGGGGTGTCCACCAATCAGAATAATGAACCAACTCTAAAGCATGGCCCCTCCCCTCCCCCTCAAAAAAGGAATCACTTTTAAGTTCATAGGTTCAAACTAAAAGAAGTACCCAATTTCTATTTCTAGACCAAAACAAAAATGTCATAAGATATATATGTTCAATTTTGTTCCTTTTTTTTTTTTGTTCAATTTTGTTCCTTAACACAAGATCTACATCTGTAAAAAAAAAATATATTATTAATAATAATAATAATAATAATAATAATATATTTTTTTTGGTAGAAACATAAAAATGATTCATTTCTATAATTGACACCTTTAAAATTAATAAATAATAATTATTAAACATTTTCTTGAAAAAAATGTCTTATTCACTCTCATATTTGTAATTGTTTCTCACTATTTATTAATATATTATTATTTTTATATCAAATTATCTCTATTCATTGCAGACTATTACTATATAATAGCAATAAGAAAAAAAAACAAAAACAGCATTACAGTTTTTCGTTCAAATTTTTACTTTTTACTAATAATGAAAATATACTTTTTTTTCAAAGTTTTGGATTCTCCTGCCCGTCACATGTTTTTAAATTTGAAATTAATTCCACTAAATCACTATATATCCAGTCAAAATCTTAATATATTCGGTCAAAGCCATAAATTTGTTATATATGATTGAAGATTTGTGTATTTTGAAAAATGGAAAATGAAATATATTCTACATATTCTGTATATATAGAGTTAAAGAATACTATATTGAAAAACATCCTATATAATAATTGATTCAACAAAATATTTCTAAATATTAGAATTCTTAATCATCATTTTTTTTTTTTTGGAAATGACGATTTTCAAAAAGAAATTCTTGTTACGTGTACAATAAATAAAACAAATTTATCTTTTAAGAACTCTATCTATTGTTAACAATCTAATCTCCTTACTTTATCTAACAATTTACTTATATAATTTCAAGTATTAAAATTCTTAATCATCAAAATATTTTTTTTAAATTATGATTTTTAAATTAAAGAAATTCTTATTACATGTACAATAAATAAAACAAAACTGTTTGAGAAAAAAAAAATAGTTTACATTATCTCTCGAAAATATATTGTTCTTATTTTATTATCTCAACAATTTATTTTAGAAAATATTTGTCAACCAGTTTATATGATATAAAAAAATTCTAAAAATTTGAGAATCTCTTTAACATTCAATTTTTTTATTTATCTTACAACTTACTTAACAAACCACATATTTTCCAATAACAAAATTCTTAATCATCCATCACTACGAATTTGTAAATCAATTTTGAAGCTTTAATAATATCTTCATAGATCATTACGAATTTTAAAGATTATATAATGGTGAGATCAGTGTATAACTTTCAAATTGCAACCAATTGATTTGGTTTAGTTCGTGTATTTATATATTCCTACTGCATAAACATTTATAAATATATAGATGTTTTTAAATTTAAATATTAGTCTATGTGACAATGATTTGATTTTTTTTGTAAGGTCGCATTATTTTTCAAATAATGTTAAATTAGTCAATCACTGTATAATAGATAGAGAGATATTTACTTGAGATAGGATCAAAATTCCCGCTTAAAATTTTTAATATTATTATTTTTAGTTTTTTTCTCTCTTTTTTTTTGGAAAATAGTGGATGGATGAAACTCATATTCAAATTAAAAAAAAAATGTTATTTTGAGAAAAAATATTGTGTAAACTGTAACCTAAAAATGTTACAATGATTTTTTAAGTACAACGGGTAAATCCGGCCAATAATGAGAAAAAATATTGAAAATCTTGCTTCTAAAAGTCTGAGCAATCATTTTTTTTTTTTTGTCAAACATGTAAATTTGGTTACAAAATTCCGGTCAACCATTTAACAAATAAAATGTTTGAATTTTTTGAAAATTTTCGAAAAGTCATGCCAACTTAATTGCTAAATATTATTTTATTTATATTTATCTATCTTTATCTATCTTCAAATCTCATATCCTATATATTGTCACAACTAAAAGTTGGTATTTATTTAATAAACAATGTTAATTTCTAAAATTATTTTTTGTATTTGGATAGTCAACTTAATTGGTGATTTTTATTTTGTCCATATTTATTTAACTACAAATTTTAAATACAGTTTAAAAAGAATCTCATATTATGTGTGGGTTCTTTGTACATATTTTTTCTTGTACATATCTATTTTCATCTCATATCCAAATTACAAATTTTAATGTGAATATTAAATATCTCATATTTATTGAATAGATATAAATATATACATACATATTTTCAAAAAACATGACGATCATATAATTAATTTTATCATATATCATGTGTTGAATGTTATTGGTTTGGTTGTTGACACTCATTATATTAATAAAAATAATATTTAAATTTTAATATATTGCGTTTGTTTTCTTACAACAATGAGATGTTAAACATAAATAATTATATTTAATATAAAATTTTAAAAAAGGTCTTAAGTAAAAAGCTCGTCCGTACATCGCACGGGATACACACGAGTTTTACTTTTATCTTATTATCAACTCACACTTCCAAATTCATCCACCTTTTTCCCAAACAACTTTTTATACTTTTTATATATCCCACCATTTCAAATCAGATAAAATTTGTATTTGAAATTCTATCTTTTTGTTATATATTTAGTTAATTTAGTTTCTGTTTATAGTAATTTCTCATTTTATTTTGGTATCTTTCTTAAGATTAATGTGCTCTTCTAGAATTTTGTTTTTTGGAATATTTGGTGTACCTCAAATAGATATGACAGAGTATAAAAAGTGATGGATAAGAGCATATTTGTTCAAATTCTGGTAACTCTTGACAATGCTGGTAGGAACAATGTCGCGCGTCTGCTCATCCCTCCATTTACATCTTCTGGTTATGGAGTTTTTGACCTGTAAGGTCCGGGCCGGGTCGGGCCGGGCCGGGCCGGGCCGGGCCGGACTAATTTCCCAAAAATATAATTGTAAAATAACTTAAAAACAGTTGTAGTGTTTTTCATCCTCATATTGGTAATAATATTTCTCTCTCTCTTCATTGGTCGGCTAGAATGTGAAAGAGAAATATGAAAGAACTACATTTTTCTCTACGTTGTATGCATTATTAACTATGTCCACTTCATCACTGTAATATTTGCGATAACATTATGCATTAGATGATTAAAAGTGGAAAAATTGCTAAACTTGTGAACGTAGAGCATAATTTACTACAAGTACATTTAAGCATTGAAAATGCTCTCACATATTATTGAATTATGAAAATACTTTAATTTTTACCACAAAACTCAACATCATTAGCCATTACTCAGTTTAGAAACAGAGGCATAGATGACAAAATTATTACTATCAAAACAAATGAAGGAAAACCTCACCTTATGTTCAAGGTAAGAGTTCGAATCTGGAGAGGACAAAAACCACAGAGTCCAAAGGCGGGTTTTCGCCCTAAGACAAGAGCACTGTGGAAGTTCATAAGTCTCCGGTGCATTGTCATGGTCCACCGAGGGTCCGACCTCCCAAGTGGGGAAGGCTGACGGTTACGACCATCAACAATAACAATCAAGAATAAAAGCTGTAAAAACCAACAAGTGTAATTAAACTATTTTCACAATTTTTTATTTTTTTTTAAAAAAAAGGTAAAAAGTAAAATTAATTGAACTCTAGAAATTCAAACCCGTTCAACGTCAACCACACAAACGCGACCTATAACTTGTTGCAACTGGCTATAGATAGTCTTGGCACCAGCCAGACATAATCATCATGAAAATATATACACAATATATCTATATCACAAAAGCCGCGTGTGGCGCTCCACAATTTTTGTACACACCAAAACTAGGCTGCAACCGAGTTGAGTCGAGTCGAGCATTAGCCTTATCGAGCAGGATTGAATTTTTTTTTTTAGCTGTTCGAGCTCGAGCTCGTCTTATGAGGCTCGAGCTCGACTCGAATCCAAAATGCTCGAGCTCGGCTCGAGTTCGGTTCGAATTATTTTCAAACAATTTTGTAAAATAACATTAAATACATATATATACAAGGGTATTTTAGTAATTTCATATATCTCGAGCCGCTCGCGAGCCACTCGACAATGTAAAATATGAACTCGAACTCGATTCGAGTTCGTGCTCGAGCCGCTCGAGCTCGACTCGAGTTCGGTCAAACTCGAGCTTGAGCCGAGCTTTGACTCGAGCGCTCGTGAGCGGCTTGCGAGCTGCTCGACTCGTTTGCGGCCCTAACCAAAACATCCTAGCTATCACCTGTCCTATATAGAGAGAGAGTCTTATTATTATTTAGTGTCATCCATTTTAGACACGTCGTCTTCTGTTCCCCCTTTTCTACTATCGGCAAAAAAGCACAACCCAAAAAGGCCTATCCTAAAAAAGTTCAAAAAGACATTAAAAAAAAAAAGGCTCAGGGGCGCCTTGGTAGGGGTCAGCCAGTTTGGTTCTCCTCTTTCATGTTTTCTCTCTCTCTCTCTCTCTCTCTCTCTCTCTCTCTCTCTCTCTGATAAGCTTATGTTGAGCTCCATTATTATCAGGGCTTATTGCAATTTTGACATGCCAAGAATCTTCTTTTTTGGCACACTATATATATGGCCTTCTTCTCTTTAATTTCCATCTCAAATTAACTGAACTAAAATCAGAGTAAATTTTTCGTCTCTCTCTCGTGTAAGAGTAATGGCAAAAGTGTCATGTGACCCCCTGATAGTTGGGAGAGTGATTGGAGATGTGTTGGACGCTTTTAGCCCTACCACCAAAATGTTGGTCACTTATGGCAACAACAACAACAAACAGGTCTTTAACGGCCACGAGTTCTACCCTTCCGCCGTTGCCGTCAAGCCCAGGGTTGAGATTCAAGGAACTACTGACATGAGAACTTTCTATACTTTGGTACTGTATATATACATATGATTTTATGGGGTTCTATTTTTTTCTTAACAGTATCTTTTAATTTTATAATCTATTTAATTATTTATGTTTGAAATTGATGTGTTGTTTAATTAATATATTTGTTTTTGTAGGTAATGACTGACCCTGATGTTCCAGGCCCTAGTGATCCATATCTCAGGGAACATCTTCACTGGTATTAATTAATTAAATAACACTTCTACTACTATTACTACAACAACTTAGTAGTCTATGCTGGAGTAATAACATAATAAATAATATTTAGGCTGATCGACCCGTTATACTATTAATTATATCATATTATTATGACCTTTCTTTAATCAAACTATAAATATTTCTCAAAAAACAGTATTTATGTATGTCCGTCTAATAGTTAGGTCAACTTAATTCACGACCAATCGTTAATGTGTTATATAATTGGTATGGGGAGAATTAATCACGTAATCTATCTAACCCTAAAATGTTTGTCAGTTGCGTGTCACTCACTAGATTTGCTTTGCAATTGCGTGATAATGTTACAGGCTGGTGACAGACATTCCAGGCACAACAGATGCCTCATTTGGTAAGAATATCATCACACAGTACACACTCTCATTTTTGGCATTGAAAGTGAACTACTCGAATAGCTTACGCAATGCGTTACGCTATTTACGCTACGCTATATAAGGACCAAAATGCGACGCGATGCGCATTTTAAAACACTGGTAATTAAATCTAAAATGAACAAACCTAATATTCCCTTTCTGTTTGTTCTTTTTTTTTTATTATTTATTTATCACACCAATAGGAAAAGAGCTGGTGTGCTATGAGACACCAAAGCCAAATATAGGCATACACAGGTTCGTGTTCGTCCTTTTCAAGCAAAAAGGCAGGCAAACGGTGAAAAGCCTCCCGACCATTAGAGACCACTTCAACACACGGCGTTTTGCAGCAGAGAACGAGCTCGGCCTACCCGTGGCCGCCGTGTTCTTCAACGCACAGCGGGAGACTGCCGCAAGGAGGCGCTAGATAGATTGTTGCTCCCCAACATCTTAATTTATTTCCCTATTAATCAATGAAAACTTCATCGTATTGTTATTATCAAAATATTAACTGATTTTGGAGAATTTACATTTTATTTTACTGTCATCATGCTGTTTGGCAAAAAGATTGTCTTGCTGTCCTATTTCAATGGTGTTTGGTAATTAAAATTTACACTCTTAACCTTTCAAATTTAATTTGGATGTACTGTTTCAAATGCTTGGTTTTTGAGTAGTAAATAAAATAGTAAATTCTATTGTTGTATTCATTAATGTTAATTTCCAAATGTTTTGGGTTTTTATTAGTAAATAAAATAGTAAATTTCGTTGTTTCATCGTACAATGAGGTGACAAAATTAGTGTTGGTATCAAAAATAATTTATAATAGAAATTGAAGAAGAATTGAAATTTGTTGAATAAAAGAAATATTTTATGTTATAAATATGAGAAGATGAATATGAAGGATTTTGGTAGAACGAAATATTTTATATTATAAATATGAGATGATGAATATGAAGGATTTTGGTAGAGAAACAAGACTTTTATATTGTCTGATCAATTTCCTTACTCCACAAATACACTCCACAAATACACGCACTAGCATTGTTAGTTTTTTTAACAACTAACTAATTGATTTAATTATTACAACAACTAATTAATTTCTACTCAACAACCAACGAATGAGCATTAATTATTTTAACAAATTAGACATATACTAAATTCTTAATTATTAATTTATTTAATTATTAAACTAAAATTAGTTTAATATAATATCATTTAAACAACATCTCAAATAATGGCAGAAATTTGTGTCTCCATTCTTAAATTTTATTAAAGGAAATGACTGGTGTTCTGTTTTGGATAAAAGGTACATATTATTATATATGCTCATTACTAGAGTCAGATAATTTGGTGCACCCTGTGAAAAAGTCAAAAGTACTGGGCTAGAAATAGAAAAAGCACTACAATTACCTTTTCCGTATATGTAGGCCTAGATTCTCAATTCTTAGCCCAAGGAAAAAGTGGGTTTTCTTCTCTTACGCCCAGGCTGCATAAAATTATGGCCCGTCTAGCGGCTTCATACCCGATCAGACTGCAAACGTTATCTTCTCCTCCTCTTGGTCTAAGTATTTGGCTCGAACATGATCGCACGGGTGTGTCTCGCCCTAGACAAGTTCTAAACTAGGATTTGGTCTCTTTCTTTAAACCAAAAAAAGAGAGGGAATTTTCATATATTTATAAATATTTACAACTCTACCATACAAATATAATTAGTTATGTCTTTACTTAAAATACCACATTTAATTACATCAATGCCTAAACAGAGTTACCATATCCATTACAATCTCAGTCCCTTGATTTTCGTTGTTTAAGACCATATTTCAGTATAAAATATACTTATATAAATAATAATATTTTTAATAATAATATTTTTAGTCATATATATATTATTATTTTCGTTATGAAAAATAACCATAACGAATGTACATTCGTTATATTAAATGTACATTCGGAAGTTCCCTTCAATACCACTATTAATGCCTAAAAGGCAGTTACTGTATCCATTTCAACCTAAAAAATAAAAAATAAAAAATATGTTCATTTTTTTTTTAATTTCATATTTTTGTCTTATCTATGATAATTCATTAAATAGGTTTTTCATTTCGTTTAAGAAAATATTTGACGCTACAGTCCAATTGGTCTTACTCCGCCTGACCCGGCCTGTCAGCTCGATCTGCTTCCACAACTGGATAACTACTTTTATCAGAAGTTGTGCTTGGTAATATCGTAGATCGGTTCGTGGAATTGACAAGAATGGGTTCGATTCCTACTATCCGATAGTTCTGATCCTTCTGAGCCCGATACTAACCGTCGACCATGTTCACTTCTTTTCTTGCTTTAGGACCTTTTCTTCAATTGCTAGCATTGCTACTGAGCAGAGGAAATCGAAGATTACGGTCTTCTTCCTTTGGAGGCTTTCAGGAACAGAGATAAATATATACAGTTTTTTAACGGTATATATATAGTTTATTTTAATTGTTTTTTAATGATATATATATCGTTGTTTTTAAATATTGCTCTTTTGAGAATATACCGAAAATATACTGAAAATACACTAACTATA